GAAGCATGATTTAACAATCATGTTTACATGATTGTTAAGTTTCAGGGAAGGGTCCATTATCACTTCCAGAAGGTGAAGGTGGTGTAAATGTTTGTGGAATAGCATTTGCCTGAACCGCTAAGACACTTTTCAGATTGAAACAATTCACATTGATCCTGGCACCACACCAGCTAGTCATTAGCACATCTGTCCTGTTTCTCCAATCTGATGTTGTTTTAAGTGCTATCTACAACAGGTAAGATAGTAATTGTTTATAAATTCTCACTTCTAAACATATGAGCTATTCATTTAACTAAAGACCTGGCATTCCTTGAAATAATTCATTTCTTTCATGACAGAGTTTTGGTCAAATTTTGTTAATGATCTTGTGAGATCATGTGAGATGTGTTAGCGCTCACAGTATGTATTAAGGATGACTCTCTGCTACTACCACACCAAATCTATCTCAATAGCTGCCAACTTGATTAAATTATATCCATTTCTGAGTTGACTAAAGTCACTTACCTGACTTAAATTGTACATTCAATGAGTACTTTCTGAGTGTTCCTTTTAAATCTGTCCAGTGGTTCATGAGATATTTTACTAACAAGCAGACCATGTTGACTAACAGGTAATGCCAACATTTTAAATGAAAATAACACATAAAGTGAAGGGCTCAAATATATGTTTGGTATGAATGATGTTCATCTACTACCACACCTTCAGGAGCCACATATTTAAATAAATCACATGTCTCTGGGTGAGTATAGACGTGGAATAAAAAGGTCTAGTGCGATGGAGAAAGTATCCCCTTGTAGATCCTACCTGTGTCTTAAGTTTTCGGTGTTCAGTTCATGTCCAGTCTATCAGCTTCAAGTTGCTGACTGATAACTTTTCTTCTAGTTATTGTCCCATAAATTGATTTGTCAACAGAATATCTACCTCTGTTGGACACAGCATGTTTGCACCTGAGGTCTAGCATAAGTAGTGTCTGTATTAATGTATTAATGCATTAATGTATTAATGACTGTGTTCAAGGAGCAAATTTATTACCACCCCATTTATTGGAGCCGCCTGCAGTTTCATCACTGCAGAGCAGACGATTAGATTAATGTACTGTTGATCATGGGCAGTGATGTGTCCTGAAGCAAATAAATACATTCTTTTAAAAATGGTCCAAATTGTTAAAAAGCCACACAGAAGTAATTCACATTATTCATTAGCAGGAGCTGCGCCCCACCTGCCTTTATGAACCTGCTGCACCTGGCTCACAGTAATTGTTGGAAACGACTCAACACCCAGTTTTAGCTCGGCATCTGTAAAATTGACTGTTACAGCCACGTTTGTGTTGCTAAATTTGCTGTGGTGGCCACTGTGTAGCAGGTGGACTCCATGCTGTTAATCAGCTGTAGATGTGCCTCTGTCCCCTGATTGATTAGATGTTCCTCATGCCGCAGAGGAACAGACACGTGGAACAACTGGCAATCAGAGTGGTAATAATCTGCAGGGTGTAATTTGCTAACACAGTTTTTGAACGTATATAAATAATATTTGATCAAGTATTCTTATATGTTTATATTTTTTGGTAATGAGATGTTTATGAAAGACCTGAAGCAGGTGTAAGGAGGTCAGCTGATCACCTTGTCAGTGCTGTACCAGAACCTGCCAGGTGCAGTTCACTCAGTGGCCAGTGGGGGCGCTGTGCACGATCCACAGCCTCCGCGCGCACACACGTTCAGCCATGGAGCGCGCGCGGTCCTCTTTGTTGATTTTAAAGAAGTCCCGCACGTCGGAGCCATGTCAGTGCTCGTCCTGACGTGCGTCGGTCCTCCTGCCCCACGCACAAAGCAGCCAGGAGACCTCCGCCGGTGAAGTAAGTCCCACTTTCTCCCCCCTCTCCCCCCTCTCTCCCCCCGCTCAGACTTGAAATGAATCCGTGCGGGATTCTCGGGTTCATGTTGCTGGGGAGAGGGGGGAAGAACGTTCGCGCTCGTTGCGGTGTGCGTTCAGCTTAGCAGCTGTTTGCGGGTTTTAATAATGTGACAAAGTTGTGCACTTGTCGGTGCTGAGGCCTGGCGTGCGTGTGGAGTTTGTTCCAGCTCCCCTCCCCCACCCCGGCTCCTGCCGCCCCCCCGGACACGTGAACGTGACCGCAGCCTGAAATGGCATTTCTTGTCTGAGCACGGCGCACGTGCGCTTCCGTTTCTTACGCCATGATCCCTTTCATCCATCCAGGTAGGAAGAGGCGCGCGCGGCCAGCCGGAGAGGCAGGTGATGCTTCAGCATCATTAACTGGAAACCTGCTCCTTCATCTGGCCTCGCGCACGATGCGCGTGCTGCTCTCACGCTACCTGCTGGCATTGTTCAACCAGGGTGATTTGGATCAATGTATTGGAGCAGATCAATATATTGGAGCAGATCAGTATATTGGAGCAGATCAGTGTATTGGAGCAGATCAATATATTGGAACAGATCAATGTATTGGAGCAGATCAATGTATTGGAGCAGATCAGTGTATTGGAGCAGATCAGTGTATTGGAGCAGATCAGTGTATTGGAGCAGATCAGTGTATCGGAGCAGATCAGTGTATTGGAGCAGATCAATGTATTGGAGCATATCAATGTATTGGAGCAGATCATTGTATTGGAGCATATCAATGTATTGGAGCAGATCAATGTATTGGAGCAGATCA